CCTTTAGCTGTGTTTAACTTTCATTTACGGGTAACGTTTACCGTTATTAAGCAAGGTAAGATATTATAACCCACTTCTGTTTGTTAATTTACATCATTAATGTGCAGAACCTCTCAATGTTCCTCAAAATAATCTGCCAAATGTACAAGGGGATGTTGACTTTGACAGATGCATCTAAAACGTTAGCATTAAACTTTCGGATTATCAAGGGTGGAGTTTACATTGACCCAGTTGTCAGTACTTTAGCAATTGTACATAGAGTAGTTCAATTTTCTGCCACTTTGTATACTTGTGTATGCAATATTGTACATTTTACCTGCTTATTATATAACCAACGTTAGTTGACTGCAATAGTTACCAATCAATTAGCAGATTAAGCCTTTCACATTGTTATATACAAACATTTCTACTTACTAAAATTTTTCCCGAGTGACTTTTTTTGGTAATATGATCATCTTAGAAATTGTAAAGCATTTTGTAGGTTATGCAGCAGTTTGTTAAGCAGTTCATTTTCTTCACTTCAGCCAGGGACAACTTTAAAATGTGATGTAAATGCATCAGTAAATATAATCCTCTGATACATAAGTATAGACAGCTATAACACTTATGGTGAATATTATTCTGCACAAACAGCACTTTTGCTTTTGATGGTTTAACTACACTCTGCAGATAAAAATAACATTTCAGTGCAGTATTAACTTGTAATGCAGTATATTTAGCTTGTTTAAATAGCTTTTACTCAAGGTTTGATTCAAAATAAGTCTCTATAAATATTGTAATGCTATTATAGTGTGCAGCACAATTATCAAGTAAAAACATTTCATTGTACATTCATTCTAGTTCACTAGTTTCTGACAATTATATTTCACTCTGTGTGTTTGCCTTTTATACCTTGTAGTAAGAATCAGATTTACCCTGATCTTAATACATTAGAAAATGCAGTAAGACATGAGTAGTAAGTCATTCTTTTGGGTCAGCAGCAATACATTGGTTTAGGCTCCTTGAATCAATCCCAGGTGATGTGACATAACTGGGTTGATTTGTACCTCCAGACACCTTCACTAATCTGTGATGGACCCATCTGACAACATGGGAAAACTCAACCACATGGTGGAGGCTGTGGCACTGAATGATGGTCCTGCTCCTGACAGCTCCACTGGACAGAAACCTGCAGACCTGCTGAGGTTCTCCCTCCACATCTGCTTTAACACTTCTGTTATTACTCAGTTTACAGTGGCTTAGTGCTGGTTTATTTGATGAGTCACACCCTAACACCAGTGTGCTTTCTTCTATCTTGTCTTATTCATAAGTGCTGAAATTACTATTTTTCAGAATAAAACAGCAGATGTCCAACCAGTGCTTTGAGATGGCAGTACAGCTTCATGCAGGTTTGCAACTATGTGCATTTTTTCACGACATGTTAAATTTTCATCAAGTTAGTGTACAAACAAAGCATTAATATTGTTTTCTGTAACAGGAAAAAGTAAGAGAACATGCAGCACATCTGAAGCAGACAGAGACTTGTGAGTATTTTTGAAAATAGCCTTTTTAATGTGGGTGTAGAATTTAACACAAATGTAAAATTAGAGTTGATTTCAAAATATGTACTGTTAACCTTTTTTTTTTTTATCAAATGTTACAGGCCTGAGTATGTCAATGAGTTGGAAAGAGTCAAGGCAGTTCATTTTAACAGCACATTGGCACTGCACAGGTAAACCGACGCCTTATCTTCTGTGAAGAGTCATTTTTTCACGTTATATAAAAGTATCACATAGAAGCAGTGAACTTTGGTTAACTTTGACCAATCATTAATTTAACTTGTGTCTTTCAGGATGCAGATATGGCACGCCATCGGAGAAAAACTGAAACAGAATGACTCAGAGGCAGTGTAAGTCAGTTAACAACATATTGAAACAATTTACATATATATATATGTGTCAAACCTTTGTGTTTTTCTTAGTGACCTGAAAGCTGTGAATGATCGCTGCATGGCTCTTTGTTCACAAATAAAACAACTACAGCAAGTAAGCAGCCTTATATTTCATTGTATATGTTTAGTGTTCGTCTGCGTTGAAACCGTGTTAAAAACAATCTTATATATAATATGTAGCAATATTTAGTTTAATATCCAGACTGAACCACCAAGCCAAAAATGTCAGTATTTGAGTTACATACAGCACTTTTAACTGGTAACTTATATATTTATTTTCCCAGCCTGGACCCAATTTCCATGGTTTTGTGTCTTAAGTGACTAATGGCAGCGACTTTTTTTTTTTTTTTTTTTAAAATTGGTCAACTATTATTGAGCAAGCCACCTTCAGAAAAACAGGCTGCAGTGTAACTATTTGGGACATAAAAGTGCCTGTTTTTGCAACTGACAGGCTTTATAGAGAGGATCCCTACTACGATAGACCTTTTTGTTGCAGGTTAAGATCCTTTTTGTTTAACCAGAAACAACCCAAACTCACCAAACTCCATTTATATAAACAGTAATTTTAGCGTGTATAGAGGCAGCATATTTTCACATCTAACAATGTGAATTAAGGGTTTATTTCAACTAAACCAGAGTTGGTGATTGTTGGAACAGTGGAGACACAAATCAAGACAGCATTTTTGAGTTTCATTTTGTTTCCGTCGACTTTGATCCAAGTGTGTTTTATCGTGATATTTAAATATAGTCTGGTGGGTTTAGCAATAGCGATTTGGGGATTGTTTCTGACTAAACAAAAAGGATCTTACTCTTAAATAATAACATTAATCTCTGTAGGGATCCTCTCCATAATGTTGTCAGACACTTAAAATAACAATCTGAGCCTGTCAGTGGCAAAAACAAGCAGTTTTAGTGGATGTAAACTCACAGTGTGAATAAACCCTGAGTGGTTTCATTGCAGTCCCTTTTTGTTGCTGACAGCTGCAGCACTTTTGCTCAATACTGGACCAGTTTCAAAATGGTTGTCTCCATTCGTCACTTAGACACAAAAACGTGAAAATGTGGTTCAGGTTGAAAAATACCAAAGTTACCCTTTAAAAGTGTAACAGATGTATGTTTAACTGCTGAATCATGGTTAACTCACCCTCAACCTTTGTGGCCTCAGTGACCGTCATACCCTCTGATGTATGAGGACAATCAGGCTGCCTATCATAGAGAGACAGATTAAGAAAACCTTGAGGTGTCTCAACTTCTTGAGATATGCAAGGGGAAGAAATCTGGTTCTGACTGGTATTAACACTGTAGCTGGAAAGAGTTGTAAACGACCCTCTTTATGACCTTGTTATTCAAGACAGTTTAGGACATATTCATGGTACAGAGCAGGGTCTGTAAGTTCTGATGCCAGACTCTCTGTAATCAGAAGAGATCATAAGTTTGGTTTCTTGTATTTCGTACTGTTTTATTCATCAGTATGTTTCTGTGATAATTTATCCTGTACTGGATTCCTTTGTGTTTTGTTAACAGGAGACAAAAGATCTTCAAGATGACATCACAGAAATACAGAAGAAGAGGCTAAGTATGTTCTGTGGTTCACAACAAAATCAGAATTTGATGTAGTTTTTCAATGGTGACGTCTGTTGACAAATGTTTTGTGTGTACATAGAGATGAAGCGACTCACACACGAGAAAATGAAAGAGATGGAAGAGTTGATGTCCAAGAAAGAGCACCCAGATACAGAGAAGTACAAAGCTGCGTTGGAGAAAGGCCAGGCGAACCTGGAGAAATACAAAAAGATGACCATCATGACACAGAATGTCCTCAGGGTAAATAAACTGTACAGGATGTGTGTTGAAGATAGTACACTGTCTGTCGGTACAATGTTTGAAAATGGTTAATGCCGACAATGAAATCTCACCCTGCATCCTCACATGAGAATTTTAGATTTTGGGTTTGCTGCAGAGACCTGTTGTCTGCATTTGTGGACACTTTATGCACTATCTAGTGGTAGCAAGAGCACAATACACTAATTTACACAAAAACAAGATGGCAGCCATTTCTGCCATCTTGTTTGCTGACTATCCTGACACAAAAGTAGACGAGGTTCAAAACTTGATCAAATTTTATGGTTGAAACTTGTTTATCTACGATAAATAACATTTGGAATTTGATATGGCACACACATTTGAGCAATTTTAGTGATAGTAACAAGCTAACACCTTGTTAATTAGAAAGTACTCATGTGAGGACATTGGGACTTTATTACTATATTATCGCAGCATTTCACACAGACCAGTTTGACTGTTCCTACAGACAAAAAGGATGTTCCTAGCTTGGAGTATGGAGCAGGGAAAATCCATACAGAGTTACAATATTAACAAATCAAAAGGCTTTTAGATATTTTGCATTATTTTCTATTTTGTTTTTGCAAAGCTGTGTTCAGGCATTGAAATGAAGACTTTTGAACAGTTTTAGACATGAACAGTGACCCCTAACCCTAAGACTTACAAAACACTGAACAAGTGTTGCATAGTTTATAATTTTGTGGTTGCACAACAATTTTCAGGCATTAAAACAACAGTTTTACAGTTAATTACACACTCGTGACTATTAAAAATAAACCCCTTGTCTCCATATGAGGATATCATTTTTTGCAAAAACTACTTACTGTTCGAAGACAGTGCTTAGTTTTATACTTGTCATGTCCTACTTATCCCACATAGTTAGGAGCAATTAAAAGTGAATATCAAACTAAAGCTCAGATCTCAGGGGGTTAATGTGTGTTTTTCTTCAGGGCATCCTCTTGGCCTGTAAAGTCAACTGGTTGGATGATCCCAAACTTCGAGACATCGCCATGACGCTGGAGGAATTTCCCATCTCTGACTAAACTCCAACTCTATTTCTCTCATATTTATATGTGTCTGTGTTGTGTTGTCAAATAAATAATCAATAAAACTGCTAAAACCAGCATGTGTGCTTGATTTGTGAGTGCAGTGTAGATGACGTCCAGCAGCCACCAGAGGGCGACACACGACGCCAGCAGAGATTTTAAACCTACTGCACATTCTGTCAGTGAAGAAGAAAAAGGGGTTACACGTGTTTACTCTGCCCAGGCAGATAGTTTAAATAATTGTTTAAAATTAAGATTTCTCGATCTTTAAAAACTGAGGGAAAATGCCGAAAGTCAAAGCGGAGAAGAAAAGCAGGCAGCACCAGGAGGTGAAGAACCAAGGTACATGTCTCCAAGGAAGCGGTTAGCATTAGCATGTTAGCAAACATCACTGTCAGCTGCTGAAGGAAATGGGCTTTAAAGTTCATCATCACATAATTATAACATATATTAAACAGTTTTCAACTCTGTTACCATACCAGTGTGAAAGGTCACACATTAAAGAGACTTTTAGTTAGCTCTGTCGCCTGCGTTGACATTAAATATTTGTTTACGTCAGTTATTAGCGCTGACTTTCTGTGAGACTGACGCCAGTTCAGAAAAATGGTTATTTTACGCGGATTGACTCACCTGCAAATACACACACATACACCGCATTATTTAAGATACTTGCTGAATTGTTGAGTGTCTTGTAGTTATTTCGGCTCACAAAGTAGCCACCAAATATTCAGCTAATGTCAAAACTATAGCTAATCAAGTGTGTAATCAAGTATCTATGGCCAAGTTGTTTGGGTATTAGTTGTGTCTTGAATAGAGGATGATATTTAGTTTCTATAAATCTACCAAATTCTGTAACTGGAAATATTAACACAACTATCACTTTCACTCAAACATGACCACAATAAAACAATGTACAAAAATTAGTCATCATCCCAGGCTTCACTCCTCGCATATGCATAAATACACTGCTCAAAATATTTAAGGGAACACCAAGTCAGTTAAACTTCAGGGATATCAATCTGGGTTCCTCCTGGTGCAGGACAATGCCTTTACAGTAGACAGCATCCCTCTGTCCTTTTGACCCCCACACAGCAGATTAGGGAAAAACTCCCCCAAAAAACACTTTTAAGAGGCATGATGTCTAAAGCCTGTTTTATGCAAGGGCCCTTGACTTAGATTTGAAATTAATAATACAGAACACTTTACTCATGAACATCCCACAAGCCCAGTACAAAGTGTCCCCATCCCGTCTGTTGCAGGGATCATGTTCAACACCGGCATTGGTCAGCACATCCTGAAGAATCCACTGGTTGTCAACGGGATCATTGAGAAGGTACTGCTTGGGTGCACTCCGACACTGAGAAGTTCTGCACAATTCATTTACAGTAAAACACAAATGTGCACATACGAGACTGTACAGAGACAGTCACGATGCTGAGTTTTTGTAAGCCATGATTGTGGCTGTTTTTCAGGCTGCTCTGAGGCCGACAGATGTGGTTCTGGAGGTGGGACCTGGTACTGGTAACATGACAGTGAAACTGCTGGAGAAAGCCAAGAAGGTGAGAGCATCAAAAAGCATGATGATGTCATCATCTTTTTTTTTTTTTTTGTTGAAACTGCAAAAACCAGAAACATCTAGAGACACAAAACCTCTAAAAACTAAGATGGAGATACAAAGTGTGAATCTAAATCTGTAATCAGGTAATGCACCAACGAGTGTTATTGTAGTCGAAAGTGTCAACTAATTGATAATCACTGTTCAGTCATAACAGGAGCTGGTATTCTTGCAGGTGGTGGCCTGTGAGCTGGACTGCAGATTGGTGGCTGAACTCCAGAAAAGAGTACAGTGCACGTGAGTGGAGACAGCATCACTATGCCTCTGCATATATTTGCATGTTATCTACCAGAGGTGGGGGATGTAGTCACACAATTAAGGATTTGAGACTTGCACATGTGTGACTTACTCTCATCTCTGGTATCTACAGTTAAATAAATGTATGAATACATGATCTAAAAAGAGTACATTATTTTTTCCGACAGGCCCATGCAGACCAAACTTCAGATATTAGTTGGAGATGTATTAAAAACAGATCTGCCTTTCTTTGACGTCTGTGTGGCTAATTTACCTTACCAGGTAAAGACATGTTTCCTCACCACAGCACACAGTTGATTCAGTGTCATTCACTGTGTTTATCTCAAATTGAACTTTTTGTTATTGTGCAGATTTCATCACCATTTGTCTTCAAGCTCCTGCTGCATCGACCTTTCTTCAGGTAACAATCAAACGCCCGCTCAGAGTTTTTAACTGTATTCTTCATATGTCCATGTAGAGCATTTAGCACCTTTTTGTGTTTTATTTTTGCTCAGGTGTGCCGTGTTGATGTTCCAGAGAGAGTTTGCCATGCGACTTGTTGCCAAACCTGGAGACAAGCTGTACTGCAGACTGTCCATCAACACACAGCTGCTGGCTCGTGTCGACCACCTCATGAAGGTCAGTGATGTTTGACTAAAGCCCTGTTTCCACTGAGTAGTACAGTACAGTGCAGTTCGACACGCTTTTTTCCTCCATTTCCACTGTGATAAGTTGTGAATGGTACCAATTGAACCGTTCTGTACTTTAGTGTTGCTGTTTCCTCTTCTATTTTGTTCTGAAAATGTTGGCCTGCAGCCTCGTTCTGTGGATGATAAACGAGGTGCAGACTTCCCTCTGTGTCACTGGTAATGAGGAAATACAGTGAGTGCTGGATGGAGCAGTGAGTGACAACAACCCCACCCACATGAAAGAGTACTGTTTGTGGTGGGAACGCTAGGGTCTAGGTACCATGTCTGAAAGGTTACTTTTGGTTCCAAACGTACTATACCAAAAGCGTTTGGTGGAAACGGGGCTTAACAGAGACTCTGTAGACCTGAGCTTGTGTTACATTGTCTCACCGTTATTTTGGCGGACAGGGTTATAAAAAATCTGTCATAATCTATTATTATGCGTCATTTCAATTTTAATTTTATAGTGGTAAGATATATTTAGTAGCATTCAATTTTTAGTTTCTAATAATAAATATACAGAACAAGCGTAAAGGTTTTGCATTTATAAACAGGAGTGTAGTGCTATTTGTTTAAGTAGCAGAGTGTGACTTGTGCACGGCACGGTTAAGTTGTGGCTTGTTTTAAAGGTCACATAACCACTGTTCCTACATTAACTATAAAATGAAAGGATGTTTTGCTGTCTTTTCAGTGTAACTCGTTAACAGTTAGCAGCTGTAGACTGAGGAGAAAAAAAGAATTAAATTCACTGTGACCCTCAAAAGCTACCGACAGCAACTGGCCATGTTTAAGGTGGAAAGTTTTCTTGCACGTTACTCAGTGTATGAGTTGATGTCATGATTCAGTCAACTCACCTTCCATTTGTTGTTATTGCCTCTCATGACATGTGCTTACGTGATGATTGGATCTTCAAGTGCTGAAAAATGTATATGAATTTGAACCTGATTATACAAATTGAGATTATACTGCAAAATACTGTTTTTCCTAACTTGAAGAAAAACTTGGCGTAGTGCTGTTCTGGTGCGCTCCTACAGCACTGAACACAGACACTCAGCTGCAGTGACGTTTTGCAGTGGTATTTATGACATAACCAAAGAAAGTGGTGGCTAAAACCAGCTCGACAACGAGGTCATGCATGTGAGATCAAAGCTGTGTAATATGCACACATCACCAAATAGACGGGGGTCGGAATGACTTAAAGTCACGGTAGATTGCCCCCAGATTTTAACCTGTCAAACTGACAAACAGCCTTCAGATTTCATTGTTGATAAAAATTCAGTCAATAAGGGAAAATATTCAGTTAACTCGACTTCTGCTCTGAACACAGGATCATCATGACAGCGTCTTTAAATGGTTTACTGTAGAGGGTTTTTCTGGTGTTGCAGAAACTGTGTCTCAGTGTGAGTGTCTCTGTCTTGATCAGGTGGGGAAGAATAATTTCCGTCCTCCTCCAAAAGTGGAGTCCAGTGTCGTCAGGATAGAGCCGAAAAATCCTCCTCCTCCTGTGAACTTCCAGGTGAGCTTTGACTCCATTATTAGTTAATGCTGTGGAAATGCAGTCGAAACAACAGGAAGTAAATTGTAGGTTGTGTTTTGTGTTCTGAAAAGGAGTGGGATGGCCTGGTCAGGATAGCCTTTGTCAGGAAAAACAAAACCCTCAATGCAGCTTTCAAGTAAGAGCCTGCTTCTGCACACACTGTCGCACTAACCCAGGTCTGCTCTGTCTAAAGAGTGAGTGTGGAAGATAAAAAAACATTATGTTGATTTTATAATTTCTAGGTCCACTGCAGTAGAGCAGCTGCTGGAGAAGAACTACAGGATTCACTGCTCTGTGCACAATGTGGTGAGTCATGGTGCAGCAGCAGCTTTTTGGTCAACTTTAAACTGCACTTTTAAGATCCCTCCTCAGCCAGTGTGAATCTAAAGACCAGCTTCATCTTGACAGGAGGTCCCAGCAGACTTCAGCATCACTAAGAAGATCGAAAGTGTTTTGCAGGAGGCTGAATTCAGTGAGAAGAGAGCCAGGTCCATGGACATTGATGACTTCATGGTGTAAGTTAAACATCGATGTACTTTTTCTCCAAATAGTCATCTGAAATAATTACCTGTTTTAATTTTGTGTGTTTTCTTTACCCTCAGGCTGCTTCATGCATTCAACTCTGCAGGGATCCACTTTTCTTAAAAGGCAGAGGGAGCTGAGGAAAACAGTGCTGTGACTCATGCTCTGCGTGTATGATGAGAGGGCGAAGTTAGCAGTCAGATGAATGGAAAGATAGACTGTCTGACTGATGTCTCTTCCTGCAGAGCTTTGCTCCAAGGACCCGAGTTTCAAATGTTGACACAGTTGGATGAAATGTACAAAGACTATTGCATGATAAATTTAAAGAGCTCATATTGAGTGTGCTATATTACTCCTATGACTACAGATAAAGTGTCCTTGTGTATACAGAGAGAGCTCCTGGCAGATGAAAGCTGTGTGCTCATCTTGGTTGTGTGAGAGCCTGACTGTGTGTGTAAGAGTTTGCCAATCATTGAAAATAAACTGTAATGGATAAATATTCTACTCTAAAAGCAGTGTACAATTTTCATGTCAAAATGACCTCCTTGTGGGAGAGGCAAATATTTAACAAGTGCAGATTTTTGGCTGTTAAATAAACTCAGATTGTCCACAAGTTTTTTTTTTCTGTGTCACGCTTTACTTGTTTTGTGCTAACACCATGTGACTGTCACTATATGGTACTACAGGATTACTTCCTTTTCAGTTATTTTGTGTTTTTTAATTTGGCGTTTTCTTAAAGAAGTCAGAAAACATTTAAAGAATACCCATCTTGATTCCCTAGATCCCAAGGTGATGTATTCAAAAACTCAAAGATACTTAATGTACAATAATATGAGACAGAGAAAAGTAGCAAATAATAAACAACAGACACATTTTTGGCAAATTATTTTCGCGATTAATTGGGGCAGTGATGCATCCTGTCGCAATATGATAGTTGTGGTTCGAAAAAAAAAACTCAGCACTCAGTACTCAGCAAGTTAGACGCAGTAGCGTAAGAGCACTTCCGGTACGACTCTTTCAAAATAAAATCGTAGAAAATACGCATTCTTGCGAACATAAACGGCCGAAAGGATGTCATTTACTGCCAATAAGTGGTACATAGAAATAAAGAAAGTCCTCCTTTATTAATGTATTTTTTTCTTGGTGCTTAAACACTAACATGGATTTTTGAAGCATTATCTCTGAAACTATTAACACATTTTTTAAACAATATTTACAGCAATATAGCTTACAACAAAATAGGGCAGATTGTGAATGAATAAAGGAAAAAAACGATAAACTTTCTAAAAGGGGGACAAACATAACAAAAATGCATCTCATTTATGAATATTTTTTCCCCCAGGATAAGTAGAGTGTTTAATAAAAGCTAGGATTTCTTAGAAAAGCCAGCATTTACCAAGTGTGACACACCAATTTAAATTTTATGACAATTTTTGCAAAATTGACTGCTTTACACTCATTTTGGAATATAATAATGCACTTTAGCAAAATTAAAAATACTGGTCTCTACATTACTACACTAGTTTACTTTTGCCTTTGCACTCTGACACTGCTGAGACTGTTGCCTAAGTAGTGTCAGAACATTTTAAGAAAAAAACTTTCCCCCCATTTGTATGATGTATGTTCAGAATACACTTTCATAGTTTACACATTTGTATACCTGTGTGTTTATGACAACTTTATTGCACACTGCTATGCTGTGCACACAGAAAACGCAAAAGCCACCAGTTGTTTTCATCTATACTATCAGTGTGTAGTTGGGGCTTTGTGTGCTTGTTTTAAATGATGGTTTGTGTGTAGGCCTACTGTGTTGGTGTGGTCTGAGGTTCTGTGGTCACTGTGAGTCTTGCAAAAGCAGCCCCCAGTTTCAAAGATGGTGCTTGGGCAATCAGAAAAAACCTGCACGCAATAGAAAGGATGCAGCACACCAAGCACTTTGAAATCATTGTTTCAAAGCATCTCATACAGAGAACAGTGACATCTGCTAGCCAGTCTAGTCACTGCACCCAGTGTCTTATATTACATGCTGTGTGAAAAATACATTTTTCTAACTGTTCAGATGTCCAGCATGTCTTCAGCCTACTGCAGCATCAACCTCTCTTCTAAGGTAAGAAATACCTGGTTATATTACACACAGAAACTGCAATGCATGCCGTCACATTGGTCTCTGTGGTGGAGGGGTTGTATGTTAAGCAGGAAGCAACTGTCACCATGGATACTGATACACAGTTTCCATAGCTGCTGTCTCTGTGTGTTTTTTCTCTGTAAATGTATACGTACTCCAGAAAACTGAAAAAACTCATTGTCACAGAAGCCATTTAAATGAAACACATGAATCTTTATTACTTCATCCAGCATTACATCCGGTGCAAACACTGAGAAACATAACCGATGGTAGATCAGTGGTCTTCACTATACATTTATTAATAGCAGTTTTTTCTAGTTTCAGTTTTATAACAAAGTGTTAAACAGGGGTGGAAAACATGGTTTACGTTAAGTAAGAGTTTTTAAGTCGGTTGCCACATAAAACGACATGGCACAAACTCAAGCAAACTACATGTAAAAACCTCTCGGACACAAGGAAAGAAACACAAAAACAGAAGCCCACTGTGGTTAAAGGCTTCTTCCAAACTGGTAAAAGCTCTGAGAAAGAAGGAAAAGAGAGAGAAGAGACTGCGTATGATGAGATGACTTTACAGTGCCGACTGTAAAACTGAAGACAGTGGCGTACGTACGCTATCACAGAGTGCACATGCAGACATGTCAGCCAGAGCAACCAGAAATGAAATACTGGTTTTGTGCGGTAAACCTTAAAACATGTTCAATGACGATCTCTTCTGAATCCAGGTCAAAAATATCCTGTTCAAAGAAAGTACAAACAAGTATAAAAGAAAATAATTTAATAAGAACAGAGAGGGGGAGGCTAAACATTCTCCATGAAGGAAATAACACTATTTTCCTTCCTACGTTTTTCTAACGAGACCATAGTGAGTGAACAGCCAGTTTTGTTAGGAGAGGGATCATAACAAATGCAATTCCTTGAGCCTGTCGGTACGTCAGACTGTCCTTTTATTCATATTTTCACAGCTGCTGGAGACAGCCCGAGTTGTGCCAAACATCTAGTGGTTATGTTTCTGCATGTGCCACTTAAACCTCTTCAGACTCCTGTCTCTAAAGAGCACGTGGCCTCTTGGGATTGATCTGCTTACTGGCTTGCTCCTCCTCCTGGAGTGTAGAGCGGAATGACTTCACTTTATCTGAGAGGAAAAGACAGGATCGGAAAAATGTGATGAGTATTTGCCGGAGCAGGATGTGTCGTCATGAAAAGGTCAACATGTGTTTCAGTCATACCTCGGAGCTCAGTGAGGATTTCTATCTTCTGGTCTAGGATCTGCTCCAACTGGGTGGCGTATGACTCCACGTCATAATCCACCTCTTCTGTCATCTCCAGCAGCACCTTTTCATCTTCCAGCCACCGGATAGACTCCTGCTCACGGAGGACACATACAGGAGCATATTCAGTTTAGGACAGGCCAAGATGAAATCATACCAGAAGCACTGAAGACTGATCTTTTAATTATAACAGCCTTCACACAGAGGTTATTAATGCATGTGTTAGATGTGTTAAGTGTATCTTGGGAAGGATCCCTACAGAGATAGGCGTTTTTGTTAAAGAGTGAGGGTGCTTTCAGACCTAGAGTTGTCTTGCTTTTATCCGAATCAGGGACTAATTTTGTTACACAGTTGCATAATTGCCTAGAGTTGGTTTGTGTTCTCATGGCAGCATTTACAAGTGGACCAGATCAAATGCCTTGCGCGAGAAAGCTGCTCTTGACTGGTCAGATTTTCCACGCAGGAAAAATCCAGGAAGTAGACAATACGAAGAAGAGTACACTTGCAAGATAAATGTGACACTTTCTAATGTCACAATGGAGGGACAACTACGCAGGCTGATTTTAGCGCTGGTCGTCGTGGACTATATTGCTGTCATTTTTCATTTTAGTCAAACCATACAGTTTGAAAATGAGGCACTGCTCCAACTAGAAAACAATGTGTCATGTGACTGCAGTTGGTTTGGTTCGAGGTCGGAACACGTTCTCACCACAAACGAACCGCACCAGAGTTTGTTTGTAACTGGACCGAGACCACCTCTTTAAGAAGGTCTTGGTTCAGTTGTTTTGGTGCGCACCCGAGTGTGATTGCCATGTTCACACCTGCCCAAACAAACCACACTTAGGGGGCAAACGAACTTGAGTTCGACTGAACCAAACCAAACAGGGCAGGTGTGAAAGCACCCTAAGATCCTTTTTGTTTAAACAAATGTATGAATCCCGCTGTATCTACTTACCCTCATCAATGTGTGGAGAAATGACAAATGTCCTTAAAGCGGATGACATCTACCTGTCTTCATGTATGTGGACATCATAATGTGAGCAAGCGTATTCAAAGAGTCACATATATTTTCCTCAGTGTTCTGACCTGGAAAACAGCTCGATGGTCCTCCAGGACCTGCTCCTCCATCTCCACTAACTGAGACACGGCCTCATGGAAGGTAAAGAGCTGGGGAGACACTTCCTCCTCCTGGGAAACATATTTACAGGATCAACAAGGGACACAGAAGCAGACTTCACATGGCTTCAGTAGCAACAAAAGCTGAACACACAACAAACCTTTTATTCAGATCTCAAAACATATTTCGGGCTTTCTTGCAAGCAAAAAGGTCTATATATATTACTCAAATATAAGTTGTTGGAATACATGCTACATGGGCTGATAATTGCTTTCCAAAATGGAAACTTTCTTGACCAAAATTGGTGACAAGTACTTAAAGAAAGACTTCAACCCCCAAATAATCATTTCTATATCAATTACTGATATAGAAATGATTATGTGGGGGTTGAAGTATTCCTTTAATTCATTAAATTAGCTAAAACAGATATTTAAAACACAAAATTTGTTCCATCACAACATGCTGTATGTTTATATTTGTGCGATATGAGGTGACGCAGACCCTGTGTACTTACATTCTGCTCACAGAGCAGTTTGAGGTCGTCTCTCTGTGGCGAGATACTCAGCCATTCCTCGTCCAAAAGATCCAGCTGGTTGACATTGTGGATGTTGGGTCGACCCCCCTCAATCACTTGATTGGGGTCCACAGTCAGCTCCTTCACCCTGTGGAGAAAAGATTTTAAGCTGGTTGGGACTGTTTCCTTTCACGACGCAGAAACACTCTGAACATGGCTGCTGTTTGATTCAGGGTATGACGTTAACTGAGGAGGACGGGGGGAGTCAAAGGCGTTCACAAACAGCACAGGATGGCAGCATCATGACAGCAGTGACATCATGCATGGGAAAGGATGACTGTGTTGGTTCTGTAGGTTTGGTTTATTCTCATAATGGACAGACCGTGAAAGAACACAGTTTATCTGGTTCACCTGTGATGCAATCCATTACATGTCACCTGGGGGAATTTATAACACTAAGGGTTAGCATCCGGATGGTCAGAGCTCGTGTTTAATGAAGCCTCATAGAGCAAATGAGGTATTACCACCATGCACCTGACCTGCAGGTACAGCAGTAATTAATTAGGACTGTTTAAGAGGGATTACCACC